GGGCATGGTGGTGCGCACCTGTAGTCCCAGCTATTTGGGAGGCTGAGACAGGAGACTCGCTTGAACCCAGGAGGTGGAGGTTGCAGTGAGCTGAGACTGAACCACTGCACTCCAGCCTGGGCGACAGAGCAAGATTTCATCTCAAAACAAAAAAACTCCAAAAATTAGCTCAGCGGGGTGGTGTGTGCATGTAGCTACTTGGTGGTTCCAGCTGGGAGGCTGAGGCAGAACTGCTTGAGCCTGGGAGGTGGAGGTTGCAGCGAGCCGAGATCATACCACTGCACTCCAGCCTAGGTGACAGAGGGAGACTCTGTCATTAAAAAAAAAAGAAGAAGGGCCGGATGCGGTGGCTCACGCCTGTAATCCCAGCACTTTGGGAGGCCGAGGAGGGTGGATCACGAGGTCAAGAGATCGAGACCATCTTGGCCAATATGGTGAAACCCCGTCTCTACTAAAAATACAAAAAAAATTAGCCGGACGTGCTGGCACATGCCTGTAATCCCAGCTACTTGGGAGGCTGAGACAGGAGAATTGCTTGAACCCAGGAGGTGGAGGTTGCGGTGAGCCGAAAATGTGCCATTGCACTCCAGCCTGGGCAACAAGAGCGAAACTCCGAAAAAAAAAAAAAAAAAAAAGAAGAAAAGAAAAAAGAAAAAGCAAACAACGAATGCAAAGCCCTTGACATGAGAGCAGGCCAGGTGTTTCAGAGGAATCCCATGGACATGCCGCACACTATTCTAAGCTTTCTCACTCCTAGGAAGGAGGTACTGTTATTTACCCATTTATAGATGGGCAAACTGTGGCCAGAGATGATAAGAACCTTGCTTTAGGAGGTAGCTGCTAAGGAAGGCAGAAGTTGTGCTCTTAAATACTAAGCTATTAAATCATTAAAGAAATGATTTCATTAGCCTGGGTAGACACAGGTCCCAAAGACTTATACCTCCAGCTCCCAGTGAACTTTCCAAGCCCTTAAGGAAAACCCTGGGTGTGGTTGTAGGGGAGGGAGTGACTCAGGCCTTGGCTGGCTTCCTGCTGAGTCACTGCTCCTGGGCCCAGGAGGGAGGCTCAATCCTCATCTCTTCGCAGTGGCAGGTTCCTGCGTTTTTGGGGGAGATGCCTGGCGCCAGGCCTTAACCGCACACCATCGGTGGATGAATTTGTCTGACTTTCCTAACGGCGTCGTTGTGAAATTGTGGGTGGGCTCTATTTCCTAATGTGACTCTCTGGCCAGCAAGAGGGAACTTTCTGCCCAGAGTAGCTTCATTAGCCATCCTGGATGAACAGGTTCTGCCCCTTAACAGGCTGGCTATCTTCCATCTCAGCTGGACCAGCTGTGTGCTTGGCACGCCCACAACGAAGTTGAGCAAGGTGCCAGGGGAGCCACACGTATCACCCTAGGCCTCGTGATGCTCACTCTAGACACATTCACAAATACAGCAAGGAAGAAATGGGTAAGGACTGTGGTGTGGATGCCAAGTGCCATGGCACCAAGTTTGTTAGTTCTTCAAACCGAGAGTCAGCCGGGCGTGATGGTGTGTGCCTGTAGTCCCAGCAACTTGGGAGGCTGAGGCAGGAGGATCACTTAAGCCCTGGAGGCAGATGCTGCAGTGAGCTTTAATTGTGCCACTGCACTCCAGCCTGGGTGACAGAGTGAGACTCTCTAAAAGCAACAAACAAGCTGTGAGTGGTGGTTCACGCCTATAATCCTAGCACTTTGGGAGGCTGAGGTGGGTGGATCATCTGAGGTCAGGAGTTCCAGACCAGCCTGGCTAACATGGTGAAACCCTGTCTCTAATAAAAATACAAAAAATTAGCTGGCCTGGTGGTGGGCACCTGAAATCCTAGCCACTTAGGAGGCTGAGGCAGGAGAATCACTTGAACCTGGGAGACGGAGGTTGCCGTGAGCCGAGATTGCTCCATTGTACTCCAGCCTGGGTAACAATAATGAAACTCCATCTTAAAAAAAAAGAAAACAAAAGAAAAGAAAAAACAAAAAATCAGAGATTCATGAACAATAATAATAGCTAACATACAGTAAGCACTTAAACTGTGCCAGGCAGTATTCTAAGCACTTAACATGTTTTATTTCATTTTTGTAACCCTCACAATACCTTATAAGGGAGGAACTTCCTATTTTGTAGATAAGAAAACACAGAGATGTCACAGCTAGAAAAGGGCAGAAAAGACAGCAGGGACAAAATCCTGGAGTCAGGAAGGTCTGGGCTGGATTTAGGGAGCTGCAGTAACAGGCTGGAGGAGGAGTGGAGTTACAGTGAGAGATAAGGCTGGAGAGGACAGTAGGGCCAGATTCAGAATTTGGTCTGGAGTTCAGGATTGGTAGGAAGCCACTGAGGACTTTTGAGCATGTCTTTCCTCAGTGCCTTAGCTGCATCTTTTTTTTTTTTTTTTTTTTTTTTTTTTTTTTTGGGATGAAATAAGCTCTTGTCCAGGATGGGATGCAATGGCACGATCTCGGTTCACTGCACCCTCCAGCTCCCAGGTTCAAGACATTCTCCTGCCTCAGCCTCCCCAGTAGATGGGATTACAGGCGCTTGCCACCACACCTGGCTAACTTTTTGTATTTTGAGTAGAGATGGATTTTCACCATGTTGGTCAGGCTGGTCTCCAACTTGTGACCTCAGGTGATCTGCCTGCCTCAGCTTCCCAAAGAGTTCACACCTGAGATTACAGGTGTGAGGCCCCCACATCTGGCCAGAGCTGCATTTTTGTTGATTTGGTTTCAGGCCACCTTGGAAAACAAAGAGTAGGGATTGAACAGAAACAGTGGAAGGATCTCGGGCTCTTTGTGTGATGAGGAGCCCTGTCCCTTGCTCACCCAGAATCTTCTGTATTTGTTGTGCTCCTGCTCCAGAATATCCTCGGATAAGAAATGTATGTTTCGGGAAACATTCCAACAGGTGTCGTTCACAGCTGGACCATCCTCTCCTTTGGAGCCATGCCCACCCCCCACCTCCCCGATCCAACTCACTTTTCCAGGCTTTCATTCCTTATTCTCCAATTCTAGTGTGCACATTAGTTGTGTCTGGCTAGCTAGCATTTCCACTTTTGCAAAACTTCTCCTCCTCATTCCTGTTAAAAGATCTGGTGGCCGGGAGCAGTGGCTCATGCCTGTAATCCCAGCACTTTGGGAGGCTGAGGGGCCGGATCACTTGAGTCCAGGAGTTTGAGATCAGCCTGGCCAGCATGGCGAAACCCCGTCTCTACTAAAAATATAAAAATTAGCTGGGCATGATGGTGCACGCCTGTAATCCCAGTTACTTGGGAAGCTGAGGCAGAATCACTTGAATTCTGGAGGTGGATGTTGCAGTGAGCCGAGATTGTGCCAGTGCACTCTTGCTTGGGTGACAAAGTGAGATTCAGTCTCAAAAAAATAAAAACAAAAACAAGATCTGGTGAGGTTGCCTCATAATACCTTCTTATGGTAGACACCGTTAGCAACCTAGCCAGTCCAGTCTCCCTCCTTCTTGGTTTAAGAAATACCAATTTTGCTGGGGATGGTGGCTCACGCCTGTCATGCCAGCACTCTGGGAGGCAAAAGCAAGAGGATTGCTTGAGCTCAGGAGTTTGAGACCAGCTGGGCAACTTGATGATACTCCATCACTGCAAAAAAATACAAAAGTTAGCTGGATGTGAGGGTGTACGCCTGTAGTCCCAGCTACTCAGGAGGCTGAGGTAGGAGGATTGCTTGAGCCTAGGAGGTTGAGACTGCAATGAGCTGAGATCGTGCTACTACACTCCAGCCTGGGTGGCAGAACAAGACCCATCTCAAAAAAAGAAAAAGAAAAAAAGAAAAACACTAGTTTCATTGAGGGTGACCACATGGCCAGCCCCAGGTGGTGGATTCTTACATGTCTAAGCCAATAATGACTCTGTTTCCCACTTTCCCAGCCCCCCTTGCAACTTTGCCAATAACACCTAAGGGAAGGTCTACTCTGGAGCTTCTGAGGAAGCTTTTGATTTTTTTTTCTTTTTTTCACTCTAAGTTCTGGGGTACATGTGCAGATCATGCAGGATTGTTACATAGGTACACACGTGCCATGGTGGTTTGCTGCCTCCATCCCCTCCCCCGCCCCATCACCTACATTATGTATTTCTCCTAATGTTATCCTTCCCCAATCTCCCAACCCCCTGCTATCCCTCCCCTAGCCCTCCACCCAGAAGACTTTTGATTTTTTTGACAAAAGGAAACATTTCCTGCTTCCTCCCTTGGGACAACCTCTCCTCTCTGTCCCAAACTGAAATGTAGTCATGAGGGCTAGAACTCTGTGCAACTGGAAGAATACTGCTTGAGGATTGTCCGCAGCCATCATTTGCTGAAAGCCTCTTGCTGAGGGGCTGCTATGGGCAAACAGAGAGAGAAAATAGGCCAGAGAGAGAGAGAAAAGTTGAGGCCTTATTTGAGTATCTAGATCTATCCATACCTAAAACCAGCATCATCCCTGAAATTCCAAGTGATGGAGCAATACAATGTCTTTCTTTTTCCCTCATGGTTATTTGAGATGGATTTCCATTATTTGCAACCAAAGGAGTCAGACCTATACTCCCTGGGCTCAGGTTTCCTGTCTTTTTTTTTTTTTTTTTTCAAAATGGAGTCTCACTCTTTTGCCCAGGATGGAGTACAATGGCATGATCTCTGCTCACTACAACCTCTGCCTCCTGGGTTCAAGTGCTTCTCCTGCCTCAGCCTCCTGAGTAGCTGGGATTATAGGCGTGCACCACCATGCTTGGCTAATTTTTGTATATTCAGTAGAGATGGAGTTTCACCATGTTGGCCAGGCTGGTCTTGAACTCCTGACCTCAAGTGATCCACCCACCTCGGTTTCCCAAAGTGCTGGGATTACAGGCATTCGCCACCGTGCCCAGCCTGGTTCCCTGTCTTTCTTTTTTTTTTTGAGACGGAGTTTCGCTCTTGTTACCTAGGCTGGAGTGCAATGGCGCGATCTCGGCTCACTGCAACCTCCGCCTCCTGGGTTCAGGCAGGGAGATTGGGTGTGTGGGAGGGGGGCGGAGCACAGGAGAGCTGAGGGAGAGGGTCAGGGTGGGTGCACAGTGAGGGGGAGGGCAAAGGTGGTGTCAGTAGCTTCATTGGGGTTCAGAGTACTTCTGGGGTGTCAGCTCCTCCATCCCCTCGGGGGCTCCTTGGGAATGTAAAAAGGACATGAAGAGCTCTGTGAGAGAGCAGCAGAAACTCTCCAACTCTTTCCAGAGGGCCTGCACTGCATGGACCAAGGCCTCCACGTTCTCCTTCACCCAGGCCACAACCGTCTGCCACCACGTCTGCAGCCACTGCAGCATGGCCTGAAACCATCTCATGACCTTGTCACAAAAGCACTCCTCGTGCTCCTTGGTTTCAGGATCCTCAACTTCCAGGACAGGGGTCTGTTGCCTCTGCACCATAATTAATCTCCTTCTTTCTCAAGTAGAGGAGTGAGCTCCGGGTGCTGTCTCTGATACTGAGCCGCCACAGTGTCCAGACACCACACTTTGACGTTGTCCTCCAGCTCTTTCATGCTCGACTTCACCTTTCCAGTTTTGATTCTGGATTTTCCATCACATCAGCAAATTTTTCAAAGGGCTGACACAGTTGGGCCTTCTGATTCTTATTGTTATCAGAGTGGACTCTTGGCACATGGTGGCCAAGAGTTCCAGGAGCCAGGACCTGCTTCAGGGACCCAGACTCCCTACCCGGGATGACCCAACTCCACTGAGACAGTCACCTTCTCCACCCTCTTTTTTCTTTTTTTTTTTTTTTGAGATGGAGTTCACTCCTTTTGCCCAGGCTGGAGTGCAATGGCTCGATCTTGGCTCACTGCAACCTCTGCCTCCCAGCTTCAAATGATTCTCCTGCCTCAGCCTCCTTAGTAGCTGGGATTACAGGCATGTGCCACCAAACCCAGCTAATTTTTTTGTATTTTTAGTAGAGATAGGGTTTCACCATGTTGATCAGGTTGGTCTTGAACTCTTTTTTTTTTTTTGAGACGGAGTTTTGTTCTTGTTGCCCAGGCTGGAGTGCAATGGCGCAATCTCGGCTCACCGCAACCTCCGCCTCCTGGGTTCAGGCAATTCTCCTGCCTCAGCCTCCTGAGTAGCTGGGATTACAGGCACGCGCCACCATGCCCAGCTAATTTTTTGTATTTTTAATAGAGACAGGGTTTCACCATGTTGACCGGGATGGTCTCGATCTCTTGACCTCGTGATCCACCCGCCTCAGCCTCCCAAAGTGCTGGGATTACAGGCTCGAGCCACCGCGCCCTGCTGGTCTTGAACTCTTGATCTTGTTATCTGCCCACCTCAGCCTCCCAAAGTGCTGGGATTACAGGTGTGAGTCAGTGCTCCTGGCCCCCCGCCCCACCTTTTTTTTTTTTTTTGAGATGGAGTCTTACTCTGTCACCCAGGCTGGAGTGCAATGGTGCGATGTTGACTCACTGTAAACACCACCTCCTGGGTTCAAGAAATTCTCTGCCTCAGTCTCCTGTGTAGCTGGGACTGCAGGTGCCTGCCACCATACCCAGCTAATTTTTGTATTTTTAGTAGCGATGGGGTTTCAGCATCTTGGCCAGGTTGATCTTGAACTCCTGACCTCAAGATCCACCTGCCTCAGCCTCTCAAAGTGCTGGGATTACAGGCGTGAGCCACTGCGCCTGGCTGGTTTCTTGTCTTTACAGTGACTGTCTAGTAGGCCTCCAGCCTTCCTCTGCTTGTGACACCTGGTGGCTTTGACCGACTGTTACAACGTGTGAGGGCTGCCTGCTCTTATTCTCAGCAATTCTGCCCCTGAGGATAACTCTACTCTATCCTCTTGTTCACAAAGTATCTCAAGGGAATGAGGAATGAAGAAACCTAGGATGTCACCACATACCAAGGCCACTTCAGCTCCACAATGTCCTCAGATGCCCTTGCAACACTATTGTTTGAGAAACACTGGGGTTAAGACATGGAAGTCAAAGAAAAGCAAGCAGAGTATTCAGGGGCGGAGCGGCACGGGGTTTGTCTGATTTTGGAAGGACTTTAGCAATCTCTCCCTTGTTTCTTCATTCATGCAACACATTTTTGTTGAGTACCTACTTGTTTTATTCATTTTTAATTGAGATGGAGTTTTTCTCTTTCTGCCCAGGCTGGAGTGCAGTGGCATGATTTTGGCTCACTGCAACCTCTGCCTCTGGGTTCAAGTGATTCTCCTGCCTCAGCCTCCCAAGTAGCTGGGATTACAGGTGCATGCCACCACGCCCAGCTAATTTTGTATTTTTAGTAGAGATGGGGTTTTACCATGTTGGCCAGGCTGGTCTCGAACTCCTGACCTCAGGTGATCCATCTGCCTTGGCCTCCCAAAGTGCTGCGATTACAGGCGTGAGTCACTGTGCCCAGCCCTGAACACCTACTTTGTGCCTGACTCTAAAATGTCCCTGCCTTCTCAACATAGATTAGGAAATGTGAAATACCTTATATGAAGGATAGAGAAGAAAGAAACCGGTGAGTTTCTTCTTGCCTAAGGCTTCTCAAAGAGAAAATGGCCTTAAAATAAAACAATCGAAAACCAGATTGGCAATGAGAGAGCCTTACTGTTAATTCGGGATGTTAAAATGAGGTGTCCCATTGGGATTTAGGATCTCCTTTCCAAATGGAAATCTTTAGGAATGAAGACCTAAAACACTGACTCATTTTTAAGTTAATTAATTAATTAATCTTCCTAGAGATGGGAGTGTGGCTCTCACCAAGTTGCCCAGACTGGTCTTGAATTCCTGGGCTCAAGAGATCCTCTCATCTCGGCCTCCCAAAGTGCAGGGGCTGCAGGCATGAGCCACCACACCCACCTCCATTGACTAATTTTTAATGGAAAGCTTCATGGGTAATGAATAAAGAAAGGGCTTCTGAGTGAACAGACTTAGGTTCAAATCCTGATTCCTTTATTTATTTATTTATTTATTGAGACAGAGTCTCACTCTGTTGCCCAGGCTGGAGTGCAGTGTTGCTATCTCGGTTCACCGCAATTCCTGCCTCCCGGGTTCAAGCGATTCTCTTGCATCAGCCTCCCGAGTAGCTGAGGTTATAGGTATGTGCCACCACACCTGGCTAATTTTCTATTTTTGGTAAGGACAACGTTTCACCATCTTGGCCAGGCTGGTCTTGAACTCCTTACCTCATGATCCACCCACCTCGGCCTCCCAAAGTGCTGGGATTACAGGTGTGAGCCATGGTGCCTACCTGATTCCTTTCTTGAAATGTGTGATTTTAGAGAAATTTCTAAACCTCTCTGGGTCTGTTTCCTTTGGGTTGCGATGAGCATTGTATGAAGACAATAAGATTTATCTTATTTTCGCTAACATTTATCTTCTGGTTCTGAGCTAAGTTCTGTATGTGTATCAACTCATTAATCCTCATTTAATCCTCACAACTGGGGAAACTGAGGCATAGGAAGATTAAAATGCCTTGCTGGGCAGTTGCAGAGCCTGACTTTGAACGTTGGGCTCTGGAGTCTTTGCTTGCAGCCAGATTATTTACTGACATCCCCATTGATAAAGGGGGGTTGCCTCACTCATGTGATACTGTTCATCTGTCTCTACTGAGAGATGATGGTGAAGTGGTAAAATGAATGGGTTTTGGAGCTGGATTGCCATGTTTCAAATTCTAGGCTTATCCTCCATAATGTGTAACCTGATTATTATGAGCAAGTTATGTGACTTCTATACTCCCGTCTCAACTTTCTCTTGTGTAAACTGGAGCTGATAATAATATTCCTAGGGTTTAGGAGAGGATTGAGTGAGTTAATATGATAAACTTAGAATCCTATCTGGTCCATAGTAAGTGCTCAATAAATGCTGCCTACTGCTTTGAGTTTCATCATTTAGGGAGGCCTCTCCTCCGAATCCTTTTTTTTTTTTTTTTTTTGAGATGGAGTTTCGCTCTTTGTTGCCCAGGCTGGAGTGCAGTGGCACAATCTCAGCTCACTGCAACCTCTGCCTCCCGGGTTCAAGTGATTCTTCTGTCTCAGCCTCCCGAGTAGCTGGGATTACAGGTGCCTGCAACCACACCCCACTGAACTTTTTGTATTTTTAGTAGAGATGGGGTTTTACCATGTTGGCCAGGCTGGTCTGGAACTCCTGACCTCAAGTAATCTGCCCTCCTTGGCCTCCCAAAGTGTTGAGATTATAGGCATGAGCCACCATGCCCAGCCGCCTCTCCTCCTAATCTTAATTATGTCTTCTTTCCCTGTAATTCACTCTCATAGCACTTGGGACAATTTGCAATCGTATATATGAGTAACTATCTCATGGGGTTATTATGATGGATAAATAATAAGATATGAGTAAAGCATGAATTTTGTGTATGTTTGGCTCTTGACATATGTGAATTGTTATTTTTGCTATTATTTACACTGAATTCCTTCCTGGGTTAAAAATCACTGACATGTCTACATTACTGGCAGTTTCACCAAATCTAAGGCACCCTCAATTGTAACCCACACCCTTCCTGATGCGTTTCTAAGAAATAGAAAAACCGTGACACAAAACTTTCCTATCACTTAGAATTTTCGTTTTATGCATGTTAAAAGAGCTCTTTTAAGTCTTATTTAGACATAGGTTTTTTTTGTTTTTGTTTTTTTTTTTTTTGAGATGGAGTCTTGGCCGGGCGCGGTGGCTCAAGCCTGTAATCCCAGCACTTTGGGAGGCCGAGGCGGGTGGATCACGAGGTCGAGAGATCGAGACCATCCTGGTCAACATGGTGAAACCCTGTCTCTACTAAAAATACGAAAAAAAAAAAAATTAGCTGGGCATGGTGGCGCGTGCCTGTAATCCCAGCTACTCAGGAGGCTGAGGCAGGAGAATTGCCTGAACCCAGGAGGCGGAGGTTGCGGTGAGCCGAGATCGCGCCATTGCACTCCAGCCTGGGTAACAAGAGCGAAACTCCGTCTAAAAAAAAAAAAAAAAAAAGAGATGGAGTCTTGCTCTTGTCCCTCAGACTGGAGTGCAATGGCACAATCTCGGCTCACTGCAACCTCCACCTCCCGGGTTCAAGTGATTCTCCTGCCTCAGCCTCCCAAGTAGCTGGGATTACAGGTGGGCGCCACCATGCCTGGCTGATTTTTGTATTTTTAGTAGAAATGGCATTTCACCATGTTGGCCAGGCTGGTCTTGAACTCCTGACCTCGTGATTTGCCCGCCTTGGCCTCCCAAAGTTATGTGATTACAGGCATGAGCCTCCACACCCAGCTAGACATAGATTTTTATCATATATCAAGCTGTTTGTTTCCTTAGAGTATACAATAATTTTTCATTTTAGTGCCGAATCAATGTGGAATGTTTTTGAAGACATTGTAAGTGGTTATTAAACTCAATACCTATAGTGCTAACAGTGCACCTAGCTTAAGGGAAAGGATGGCCGGGCGCGGTGGCTCAAGCCTGTAATCTCAGCACTTTGGGAGGCCAAGGCGGGTGGATCACGAGGTAAAGAGATCGAGACCATCCTGGTCAACATGGTGAAACCCTGTCTCTACTAAAAATACAAAACATTAGCTGGGC